TATACTGCAGGTGTGTGTGTGTGCGTGTGTATTACAGGTCCGTGTGTGCACGTGTGCAGGTTACTATATGTGCACAGGTATACTGCAGGTGTGTGCGTGCGTGTGTGTTACAGGTCCGTGTGTGCACGTGTGCAGGTTACTACAGCACATGTGCACAGGCGTACTGCAGGTGTGTGTGTGTGCATGTGTATTACAGGTCCGTGTGTGCACGTGTGCAGGATACTACAGTATATGTGCACAGGTGTACTGCAGGTGTGTGTGTGTGCGTGTGTATTACAGGTCTGTGTGTGCACGTGCACAGGATACTATAGTATATGTGCACAGGTGTAGTGCAGGTATATGTGTGTGCATGTGTATTACAGGTCTGTGTGTGCACGTGTGCAGGTTACTATATGTGCACAGGTATACTGCAGGTGTATGTGTGTGTGCATGTGTATTATAGGTCCATGTGTGCAGGTTACTACAGTATATGTGCACAGGTGTACTGTAGGGGTGTGTTTCCATGTGGGCGCAGCCTCACCCCATGCACTAGGGGGCTATGACAATGTTGCTGGACTTCAAGAAAGGCTTAAGAAACTGAAACATCTCTATCTGATGGGATGTCCACTCTCAACTCAGCAGCCAGGCTTATTGGGAGATGACAGTTAACATGAAGAGAATTTCTTTCCAGGCTCAGAAGGAGAGGTGAGGGGCGAGCTGCAGGCTGCATTTGTCTTCCACCAACCACAGCCACGACACCTTCTGAGTCAGTAGCCAGGAGCTTGGCAAGGTGCATGCGTGGGATGTGAGCAGCATCAGGCCAGCATCCAGAGACTTCCTCGCCTCCCCAAATCCCAGGGTGATCCCACAACCAGGGCTGGACTGGAACAAAGTGTGGCCCATTCAGCCCCACTCAGGCCTTGTTTGCTGAACATAGATGCTTTGTACACAATATTGTCAAGGCCCCCAGAATAGCTCCAGTGCTGGCACTATTATCACAAATCCCCATTTTATAGAAGAAGAAACGGAGGTACGGAGCATTATATAACTTGCCCATGGCACTCAGACAGAACGTTATAGCTATTGGGGTTTGAATCAAGCAGGTTGTAAGGATGTAAGAAATGTCTAGAAACCTCTTAGAGCTCTGGAGGAATGTAGCACAGGGCAGCAGCAGGTACCCAGACGCAGAGCAGCTGCAGTCTGTGGCTGAGGCTGGCTCAGGTACAGCCTGGTCCTCTGAGACCATCAGGTGGCCTTGAAACACACACCCAGAGCAATCACCTGTGAGTGAGGTACTATCGGGCAGCTACCAAGGAACATCTTGTCACTCCAGTGACAATTCTGAATACCTCTCCTAATTCACTTCCTGTAAAATCAGACAGACTAGGTAAACATATATCTTTCTTAAATGAAGCACGTTATAGTATCTAAATGGTTTTTATCAAGTTGTTTCCAGGCTCTTGAAAATTTCTGATTTCTAAATAATCCTTTATCCATTCCATATGCTCCTCTGAAGTCATTGTTAACAGAAAGGCAGAAAACACACAAATAATCTTCCCTTTTGCATGAGCTTACGATTGACTCCAGTCACTGCCAGTCAAATGTCATTAGGGGAGCCCCAAATCAAAGCAGGACAGAGGAGCCGCTGATGAGCTCAGGAATCAGGCTCTGAGGCCGCAGGGCTGGCAGCACCAGGCCCTGCAGTGGGCAGCATGCATCAGGCTGTGGGCCATGCACCATGCAGGGAGTCCGTGCTCCGGAAGTGCAGCAGCAGCAGCAGGGGAGGCAGAGGGACACAGATGTCCACTGCGGGGAGGGTGACTCACTGACCCCTCCAGACAGACCTGAGGTCATGCCAAGGATCACCTGCTGGGGCCTAAGGAGTCGCCCTCTAGTACCCTTCCCAGCTCTCCCAGGTATTCCCCAGGTCCTCCAGACTCTGCCTCACCCAGCACCGCAGACCTTTCTCCCTGCTCCCAGCCCAGGCCCTGTACTCTCTGACTGCCAGCCGTTCCCAAACATGTCATTCCCTTGACTGCACTGTTCTCACATCTCTTCCTAACAGGCTTGTTCCTCAGAGGCCTCACATGTCCACTGCCCTTGCTCCGTGTCCAGCTTCCTCTCAGCAAAGTCTGAGGGAGTGAATGAGTACTGCCCTTAGGCTGGGCTGTGTTCCCCACTCAGTTCAGGACCCTGTAGTGTTGGACACCTCAGCCTGGCTTCTTTTCTTTTGTTTGTTTGAGACAGAGTCTCAAGCTGTCGCCCTGGGTAGAGTGCCGTAGCATCATAGCTCACAGCAACCTCAAACTCTTGGGCTTAAGCAATTCTCTTACCTCAGCCTTCCAAGTAGCATGGACTACAGGTGCCCACCACAACGCCCAGCTACTTTTTTTTTTTTTTTTGTAGTTGTCACTGTTGTCTGGCAGGCCTGGGCCGGGTTTAAGCCCGCTAGGCCCAGTGTTTGTGGCTGGCACCCTAACCATTGAGCTCCGGGGGCCGAGCCAGCCTGTGCTTCTTCATTCTTCTATCCTGGGCCATCTAGAACTGGCTTAGATAGGGCCAGAAAAAAAGCCTGAGCTTGGCAAGCAGCCACCTGCTTCGTGGCCAGCCCCAGCCAGGCCTGCAGGTCACAGTGCTCTGCAGTCTAAAGGTTAAACATCTGGAAGGCAGACAGCAGCCCCAGACTGGTCTTTGTGGTCCCAGAAACCGAAACCAGGAGTGATACAAATTCCAAGCTGTGAGGGTTTCAGTAGCAGACATAAGACTCAGACCTAGAACAAGAAGGGCCTGGACTATTTTGTTGGTCCTAGGACCTGGGGACTCCTGGAAATATTAAGTGGGATGCAGAGGCTTTGCGCTTTGCTGGCCTCTGTCTTCGCTTTCTTTTTGGAATTTGACTTCGCTGAGGGCAGGGACCAAGTCTTTCTTGGCTGTGCCCTCCCCTCCTCAGAGCCCAACCCAGCACAGCATGGACAGGCTCTGGGGTCTGCTGGCTTGGGGTGGACCAGAGAGAGGATGTCAGACCAAGAGCCCATAGGCCATAATCCCACCTTGCTATTCATGCACCCCAGAACTGTCCCAGGATTCTGAACTCTGCCCTGGAAGGGCTCTGGGTCCCTGCCTTCAGCTCCCTCCTCCTCCCTCAAGTCTCCGCCATCCCCTCCACGCAGGTGCCTGCCCTGATCCTGCCAGGCCACTTGAGGTTGGAATGATGGTTGGTGGCTTGTACTCGCATCCAGCCTCTGGCCTGTACCTCCCATCTGTCCTCTCACTGTACAGCTCCTGCCCTCAGGTCTGCCTGGCCACCATAACATGGGGAGGGGCCTAGTCCTGAGCCCCTGCAAGCCTCTGCCTTGGCTCGTCTCACCACCCGCCCAGGGCCACTGGACTGTCGAGCACTCTGTTCTGTCTCTCTGACACACACTCACGTGCACAAACTTCTATACACACACACACATACACATACACACACATCTAGTCACATGCACGCAATCATCTATATGCATCCATGCACAGTCATATACACGTGTGTACTTTGTACAAACACATATTCACACACTTAAATATACACACACATACATTCACATACACGTACACACAGTCATATACACATACTCATATGCACTCACATAGCTACACAAAGTTACAGACACAACCACACTCACTCACACATATACACATGCTCTCATATACACGTTCACTCATCCACACACTCATATACATAGACGTATCCATACACAGAGACATGCACACACGTTTATGTACACACACACCCCCCACCTTTGCTCACACCGCTCCCATGGTCTTTCTCCTTTGCCTAACACCTCCTTAACCTTCAAGGTCCACGTCAATGCTGCCTCCTCTAGGAAGCCCTCCCTGACTTCCCTTCGGCCTGACCGAGGCCCCCCCCACTCCCACAGTGGCACTCCCAAAATAGAAAGCACACCCGCAGTGATATTAAAAATTTTTATTCTAGGAGGCCGAGGTAGGTGGATAAGACCAGCCTGAGCTAGAGTGAAACCCCGCCTCTAAAAATAGCTGGACGTTGTGACAGGCGCCTACAGTTCAGCTACTCAGGAGACTGAGGCAAGGGAATCACTTGAGCCAGGAGTTTGCAGTTGCTGTGAGCTATGACACCATCGCACTCCACAGCGGGCAACAAAGTAAGACTCTTATCTCAGAAAAAGAATTTCTAACTGGGGCGTTGCATGGACAGGGACCATCTCCTTGATGGAGATACAGAGGAGAATCCGAAGCAAAGCTGGAGACACTCGCTACAGCTCACCAGCAAAGCCAGACAGAGAAGCCAGCTCTGCCCAGTGCCTTGGACAGCAGCTGTGACTGGTTCATCTCTGTCCTGGCACTGAGGGGAGAGAATAAGCCCTGGAGGGCATCAGGCTGCCCCTGCCCAGCAACTGGGTCCCCCGGCACCCAGCCCTGGCTCCCAGGCCTCAGAGATGTGAGCTCATGCTTGCTCACCAGGGCAGAGTCCACTGGGCAGTTGTGATGGGGGAAACCTGGTCCACACACTAAGTGACATCTGTCTCCCTCCAACACCTGCCTTCCAGTAAGCTGCATTTCGGGGGCTGGGGGCATAGGTAAGACCAGAGGCAGGATCTGGATTTGTTTGGGTGGCCTAAAGGTGCATTGGCAAAACTGGTCCTCCCATGCCTGCAGCAAATACTTGTCAGGGGCCATGTATCCAGCACTGTTCTAGGCACTAGGGCGGTCGTGCACATAAGTAGGTGCTTTAAGAGGCCTTGACCATGGCCTGCTTGGTGAACTACTCAGAAGTAGCCCAGGACAGTGGCCACGAGTCCCTGGGCTGACTCCAGTGTGTGAGCACCCACCAGACTGCAGGATCGGAGGACCTGCTGCTCAAAAGACCAGGCATCATACCACACTCTCTACTGCCCCTGCCCTTGACCTGCCACCCACCCTGCTCATGGCCAGACAGCCAGGTAGAGCACCAGAGAGGAGGCCAGCTCAGTATTGGATCCTGCTCCTTCACAGGGTCTCTCAAGTACACAGGCTACTGAGCACCCACCAGGTGCTGTAGCTGTTACCCCATATGTTTGATTCCCACACAGCAGGGTATCCACTACTCTGCCCTCTTCTGCCACACCAGCAAAGTCACAGATGAAGAAATTTAGGTTCGGAGATGCTAAACCACTTGCACAAGGTCACATGGTAAGCAAGACAGAGCCAGGATGGAAACCAGGTCCCTCTTTGCAATAATCTCCTAGGGATGTTTTAACAAGCAGCTAGGCTGAACGGGTCTCAGGCCTTGCAGATAAGCGGAGCTGCAGGGCGGTTAGGAATATGCTGCGTTTAAAACGGTGCAGGACTTTACAAGCCTCCAGCTATAATTTCATCATAGCCCAGGACTTGGAAAGTCTGCATAATCCTGGAAGGCGCTGGCTTTCAGCTAAAAGACCGCTGTGACTGCTAATTGGATCCTCAGCCTACGCTGTAAATCAGACCAAAGTGTGGGCAATCTTTTTTCAAAACAGGCACTGTATGTCTTTACATTATTGTTGGCGGACCAGGGCCTTAAATAATTTCTGTGTAACTCAGTTCATAAATCTGCCCTCGCTCTGTGGCTGGCAACCGCTGCCAGAGAAGAGCCCAGGCTCCCAAGGTAAACAGCTGGCTGGCAGCGGTTTGCTGGCCGTGCAAAAAGCAGGGCAATGGGCCTGGGGTGGGGGCCGCGCTCACACTGGGGAAACCTCAGTGTGCTGGGTTTGGCACAAGTTGAAGAGTTGGTGGGCCCAGCAGTTCATGGAGTGTCATCCCACAGTGTGACGCGGAAGCCTGTGGGTGCCAAGGTGCTGTGGTTGGGGGAACACACTGGCAAACAGAGCAAGTCCAGAGGGTGGCCAGAGAAACTACAGGGAATTCCCCCTCACTACACACGTACAGCCTGGAAACCTCTGCACAGCCCGGGGAGGCTGGCTTCACTGTCCCCATTTCAGAGGTTGGAAGACTGAGGCTCACAGTGGTTATAGTATCTATCCACAGGGCTGCCTGGTTTCAAAGCAGTTTTCCATGTTATACATGAAGAGGCCTGATGGGGTCACAGAGACCACCTTTACGAAACCAAAAATCTGCCCACTGTGAACAATCAGCACAAGTGTGGTTCTAAGAGCAATACGACCGAGCATTTGAATTTGGGAAGTTGAGAAAACCCAGCAGGGGGAAGGAGTGAGCTTCCCAGAGGTGAATTAACAGAGGCTGGACCATCTCATTTTACGAAGCTGCTATGGATGAGGGTCCCGCACCCTGTGGTAAGAAAGATCTATCATCCAGTCTTTTACTGCTGAACCTCTGCAGTGTGCCAGGCCCTCATCAGGTGACAAAGGGCCAAGGAGAAAGGTGATAGTCAGTGCCTGTCTTGAGGAAGCTGAGTGACAAACAGGAAACAAGGTGCCAAGAATTCTACTGCACAGAGAGAAGATGCAGAATGAACCTCAAGAGAAGCGCAACCCTGCCATGAAGCAATAGGGTTGCATCCGTGGTGACTCCCGATGTGTGGAAACACGCTCCCACACCCAGCTCACACATCTGCTCCTAAGAGACCGGCACCCCAGATCACAAGCTGAGCTGGCTCAAGAGCACCCAGCAAGAGGCCATCAGAGCCCCTGCCCAGCCCTGTCCTGAGCCCCTGCCCAGCTCTCCCCACAGCATCACATGGCCCCACCCCTTAGGCCCTGGGGTACCCGGATAGTCTCATTTCCTCCTCCTCCTCTATCAACATCAAAATAATAATAACAATGGTGATGAGGATGTGAAACCCCAATTCCATCATTTGTAAACAGAGGTGAGGACAGAATCACGTGTGCTGGAGGAACGCATGGGAGACACTCAGCTCTGAGAAGACGGCCGTGTGGGAGTGACTCTAAAGAACACTTCCACGGGCCTTTGCCAGCTACCACTTCCTCTGATCCTTACAACTCGTAGGGTAGTTATTGCTACGGGGGACCATTTTATAGACGGGTTAGGGTTAGGGTTTTACTTCTGGGCCCTTTTGCAGTAAAATAACCAGACCGTGCATAAAACAAAGATTCAGTCACATTGCTTGGGTCATAGGAGGTAAGGAAAATCTCAGAGGCTTGCAGAGAAACAAGCAGAAAGCCACAGACTACAACTGGACAGGAGGGATGGGACGCCCCTGAGGGCAGGTGCTCACCTCCCCTGAGGGGAGGTCCCGCAGTGTGTCCAGGGACAAAGACCAACTATCTGGTCTCCCCAAACACATGAGGAGGCTCAGAGAGGTGGGTATTTGAATAAACAAGGAACCACAGGATTGAACCCCTCAAGGATTTCAAAATTTAAGACTATCAGACTTAAAATATAAATTAATACGGGTTTACAGGATCAAAGGGTAGAATCACAAAAACTGAGTAAGTACCAAGAGACTATCAAAACCAACCCGTCAGCTTTGAAAAGAACAGAACAGAATTTCCGGAAATTAAAAATATAATTGTTGATATAAAAAAATTTTCAAAAATTTAAAATTAACCCCCCCCCACAAATCAGTGGTAGATTTATCTAATAAAGTTTCCCATTTCTAGAAACCTAATGACGTTGTCAATTTTAAAAAGAAATCTGATTGAGTCGAATAGTGGATTAGACACCAGTGAACTGGACGAAAGAACTGAAGAAATTTCAGAGAATTCAGGTCAGAGACCAGCAGCTAGAAAGTAAGAACTACAGACACCAGAACAAGAAGGCAAAACGCACCTTCACGGGAAGCCTCAGAAGGAAAGACGAGAGCTAAGAGGAGCAGAATTGGAAGAGATAATGGCTCAGAGTTTTCCAGAGTTGCAAGGAGGAAAAAAAAAAAGACATCTACACTTACTCACAGAGTACTGAAAATTCAGACTATCGAAGAAGGAGATCTTAAAAGCAACAGGAGGAAACACAAATGACCCATGAAAGAGTGACATTTAGATCGACTGGTTTGTAATAATAATTTCAATGTGCTGAGATAAAATAACTGTCCAACTAGGTCTATACCCCACAAAACCATCTTTCAAAATGGGGACGTCAGATAGAGTACCTTTCTCAAAGAGCTTCTAAAGGATGTTCTTCAGGGAAAAGGAAGAGGATCCCAGAAGGAAGGTATTAAATGTATAAGAACTAATGATGAGCTAATAAAATTGTACAGACATAAGGAGAGCTGAACAAACTTGTTTTATACGATGCTAATGCTGTGGCTGGTGCCTGTCGTCCCAGCTACTTGGAAGGCTGAGTCAAGAGGATCACTCGAGCTCAGGACTTTGAGATCGCTGTGTGCTAGGATGACGTCATGGCACTCTACCCAGGGTGACAGAGTGAGACTCTGTGTCAAAGTAAATAATAAAATAAAATAAAATTGCTGAGGAACTGTAAAAAGGCGAGAACTGGAATACTGTACAATAACAGCACGTAAGTTTGGATAAACAATTAGACTCCTCTACTAAGATTCTAGTATCGTGGGGTGGAGGTGGGGGTGTTAAGGTAGTAACCTTCCAGGTCTTTTAGGTTAAGAATGTATGATAAAAATCCAAAAGTAATCACGAACAGAAAGGAATCAGAGCATATAACTTCCAAATCCGCAGAGGAAGGAAAAACAAAACCCTCTTAATCCAAAAAGTAAAATAAAACCAAAGAACAGAAGATCTAAGCCAAAATAAGCAGATTTTAAAAAAGGAAATATAGAAAAAAACAGAAGTAGAAAGCAAAATGTAAGATACCAGAAACATGCTCAAATGTATTAGTCGTCACTTTCATTGAAAATGGACCAAACTCTAAATAAAAGAGAGCATGTCAGAAAGAACTAAAGAAACAAAACCAAACAAACGAATGCCCTATCCGCTAATTACAAAGCACGCCTGAAACATAAGGGCAGGCAAAGGTTGCAAATTAAAGGACAGAAAAATAAATGCTACGCAAATACTATTCGAAACCAAGCTAGTAGATGAAGCCGAACATTAGACGAAGCCGAATTTAAACCAAAAAAAAAAAAAAAAATTAATGACAGATTCACTTAATAAAACTTTTAAATTTCCGGAAACCTAATGATAATAAGACAGATGCAAAGCATATCCCTTAGTGAGCAATTCAATCGGTTTCTATCAATTATTAATAAGATAAAGAAAAAAATAAAGCAACAGAAAAATCTGAAAAAGACTTTTGAGCTACTGACCAAAAACAGATATACATATTTTTCTCAAGCATATACAGAACATTTATAAAAAACTGCCACAGACCAGGTCAAAGGGCTCATATCGTATAAATAATGTTCTCTAATTATGGTGAAATTAAATTAGAAGTCAGTAACGAGAAGAGAAAAATGTCCCTATATTTAGAAAATTAAAGACTCACTCTGTCCATCAGAGCATCATAGCAGATATTCGGTAAGGCTTTTTAAGAATGGAGAACAGCAATGCCAGCACTACATATCAAAAATTCTGAGATGCAGTAAAATTGACATTGAAGGGAAAATTGATCTTAAAAATGTTTATACCAGAAAGAAAGAAAGCCTAAAAATCAATGTGCCAGGAGATCCATTTCAGCAATTACAAGAGAGACAGCAAAATAATCATAAAATAGGGATTAGGAAATAATAAAGATAAAGGCAAATATTAATGTAGTAAACAAAAGATACAACAAAGGGAACCAACAGAGTCAGGAGTTAGGTCCTGAAAGGACTAGGAAGAAGGACGAACCTCTCGTGAAATGAACTGGGGGGGGGGG